AATATTCAAAATTTTTGCTGTTAAAAGCTGAAATAGATGTGCACTGTAGTATGAGCAAGAATAAATTAGTGTGTTTCTGAGAAAAAAACCTCCCAGATAAATATTCTGCTCCTATCAGTGCAGGTTTAAGACAGTTCTGGATGTGACAGTTCATATGTTTGTGACCTGTCAAACTTGTCAATGTGTATCCACCTTTGTGCCCCTTTGTCTTCAGTCTAGGTCTATGCTGAGACCCCTGGAGCTTTCCTTGCCTAACCAATCAGCCAGTTCAGAGAAGGAGACTTTAAAGAGAGAACTTGACAACATGAGGACCTGCTATGGTGCAGCAAAAGAAGAAATCAGCAAATTGCAGAGAGAGCTGTCTCAGAAGGTGTTGGAGTGTAAAGCTTTGGCATCAGAGTGTGAAAGGACCAAGGCAGAATCTGATAGACAGATAAAACAGCTGGAAGATGCTTTAAAAGATGTACAGAAGAGAATGTTTGACTCTGAAGGCAAAGTTAAGCAAATGCAGACCCACTTTCTTGCTCTGAAAGATCACCTGACTAACGAAGCTGCTTCAGGAAACAGTAAGTTAACAGAGGAGCTGAAGGATCAGTTGAAAGAGATGAAAACGAAGTACGAAGGAGCCTCTGCTGAGGTGGGAAAACTGAGGAACCAGATTAAGCAGAATGAATTGCTGGTGGCAGAATTTAAGAGAGATGAAGGAAGGCTAGTGGAGGAGAATAAAAGGTTGCAGAAGGAACTTGTTAAGTTGGAGATGGAGCGAGATAAAAGGGGAAGAAATGTCACGGTGTTAGAAGGGCAGCTCAAAGAGACAGCAGCAAAGTTACAGCAGTCTGTAACTTCAGAGGAATTTGAAAACATGAAGAGTTCGTTATCAAATGAAGTGAATGAGAAGGCAAAGAGGTTAGCTGAGGTGGAAGGAGAGCGGGAAAGACTGCAGGCAGAGATCCTGCTTTTGAAGAAGGAATCTGAGAGCCAGAAAGCCCAACTGGCTCAGCAAGTAAAGCCAGAAGACCACGAGCAAATGAGGAGTGGGTTTGAGCAAAAAACTGAGACGCTTGGGAAGACGATTGCTGAACTATCCCAGAAGAATCAGACTTTGCAGAAGGAACTGGAAAGTTTGCAGATGGATAACAAGACTCTTAAGCAGCAAATCCAAATGCTAAAAATTGAAATGAAAAGCCAGAATGTGCCTTTAAAAATTCACGAGGAACTGAAGAAAGCCAACGACCTGACTGTTGAGGACCTGACCAAGAAGCTTTTTGAAATGACAAAGAAGTACAACGAAAGCAGAGCAGAAGCTGAAAAGTTGCTGGTGGAGAAGAACAGCTTAAGTGAGAGTATCAGTCACTTCCAGGCTGTGTACCTGTCTCCAGAGCAGCACAAAAAAGAAGTGGAAGCTTTAAAATCTAGTGGTATTGAGCTGGAAAAGCAGCTTGCTGAGTTTCAGAAAAAATATGATGATGAGCAAGCAAAAGTGTGCAGGCTGGTCTCTGAAAATGCTGTGGTGAGAGAGACTCTGCAGGATCAGTACGTGTTGGCTACAACTCACGAGGAGGTGAAGGCAGTCTTGAATAGCACACTGGAAAGGACTAATAGGGAGCTGTCAGATCTGAAGGGAAAAAATGAGGAGTTAAAGCAAGAACTCACGAGGGTAAATGAAGAAAATGGAACTTTGAAAAATCGGGTGAAACTCTTACAGGTTCAAATGCAAAGTGAGTATGTCAGTTTAAAAGCTCATGAGACTGCAGTGACTGCTTTAAATAAAAGCATGCAAGAACTTCAGGAGAACAATGTTGCCATTACAGCTGAATATAAGAGGGGTCAAGAAGAAATTCTCCAGTTGCATGTGGAAATTGAAGCTCAGAAGAAGGAACTTGACACAATACAAGAATGCATCAAGTCCAAATATGCCCCAATTGCCTCCTTTGAAGACAAAGAGCAAAGCTTCGAAGCCACAGTGAAAGAATTGAAAGCACAGTTGGAGGAAGAGGTGCAGAAGTGCAGAGACAGCGAGGAGGAGAACAAGAAGTGCAAAGAGGAGAATGAGAAGCTGAGAAATGGGGTTTTGTCCATCCAGAATGACTTGCAGCAGAACTACATCCTGGCAGAGAAATCCCGGGAGATGGAAAAGATGTTTGCAGGCAAACTGGAGGAGCTGAATGAGCAGCTGAGAGAACTGCTGCAGAAATATACGGGTGAAAAAGAGGAGAGAGATGAGCTGGGAGAGGGCACCAAGCAGCCCCTAACTGTGCAGGCTCAGCAGCTTTCAGCAGAACAAATCGAAGCCTTGAAGGCAGCTCTTGGTGACACTATAGAGGATCTAAGGGAAGCCCTCAGAAGTAAGAAGGAATGCTATGACAAAGAAACACTAAAAGTAGGAGAACTACAGCAGGAGCTGTCAGGGCTAAAGAAGTCTTCAATACCCTTGGTGGAATATACACAAATGAAGGAAATGCTGGAACAAGAAATCGTGGCAATCAAAGCCAGCTTGAAAGAAAAGGAAGAAGAAAACCAGGTTCAAAGTGAGGAAATCTCAAAGCTGGAGTCTGAGATGCAGCACACTCGACAAGCTTTAACAGAGCTGGAGAGCAAGGAAGTGATTGACATGTCAGAATACAGAGCCATGAAGAGCACTCTGGAGGCCCAGATCAACAGCATAGCCCAAAACTTGTCCAATGTGAATAAAAAGTACGAGGAGGCGCGGGAGGAGGCTCTGCAGGCTAAAAGGAGTGAGCTTGCTTTAAAGGATGAAAAAGAGCTGCTGCAGTTAAGGAGCTGCAGCATTGAGCAAGAAATCAAAGACCAGAAAGAAAGGTGTGATAAGTCATTGACGACCATTATTGACTTGCAGAAGAGAATTCAGGAATCTGCAAAGCAAGTAGAAGCCAAGGATAACAAGGTGGGGTGGCAGCTAGTGCCTTACTGCTAACCTGGAAATGTCAGGGTCATTCACTAGACTTCAGATTAGAGCTGCTTAAGTATTCAGGCATGATTTTGGGTGCTGAGCATTGGGTACTGAGGATTGACCCAGATCTGTGAAGCCCTGGTTTTGGTAGTGTTGTACCAGGATTGGCCCAGATCTGTGAAGGTGAAGCCCTGGTTTTGGTAGTGTTGTACCAAGTTTTTCCCACTCCTTTTCCATCAAGTTGTATTTAAACTGCTGAAACTTCCAGATTGAGCTGCAGTCTTTTGGGCTCCAAGCTCATTCTTCCATTGGAGGTGTATTTGTTGAGCATCTCTGACTTGCCTTCTGATGGTTCATTATTCTCTTTAGAAGTTAGACCTACAATGTCCTTTAGAGCACAAGTCATGTATGCCTAACTGGCAATAGGACAAGAGGAAATGGGCTTAAATTGCACCAGGGGAGGTCACCCAGTCCCACCCCCCTGCAGGGAGCAGGGACATCTGCAGCTAGAGCAGGGTTCTCAGAGCCCCGGCCAACCTCACCTGGGATGGTTCCAGGGATGGGGCAGCGACCACCTCTCTGGGCAGCCTGGGCTAGTATTCAAAGACTACTAAAGGATATTAGGTTTTGGTGAGAGACCATTAAATGAGTTTTATTTTTTTTGGTGCTTTTTTACAAGATAACAGAGCTGCTTAACGACGTCGAGCGGTTGAAACAAGCTCTGAATGGCTTGTCCCAGCTTACCTATACCACTGGGATTCCCTCAAAGAGGCAGAACCAGCAGGTTGAAGTGCTCCAGAACCAAGTGAAAACTCTGCAGCAGCAGCTGGCTGTAAGTAGTGACATGAAGCATTGCCTGAAAAGCAATAGTGGTGCTCACAGCTTCTTCTAGAAACAAGGAAATATCTATGTGGCTGGTGCAGCACCAGGGCTGCCTCTAAGCTTGGACTTCAAAAGGAGAGTGTTCATGAATTTCACTGTTCCCCCTGACTGCTTGCTTCTCTGTCAACTTCTCTGCTTACTTCTGCATGTTAGAGTTGCAGCATTTGGAAACTTTTCCAGATTAAAAAAAAAAAGACAATTTGGAGAGTTTGTGCTTCTGAGAGATGCTGCTGTAGTTCACACCAACGCCACTTCTGTGTGTGAGTTCCATGTTAACCCATGCAAAAACCCACCAGCCATGGATTTTCTCACTCTGGAAGAAAGCAAGGTGGCCTTTTCTTCATGGATTTAACATCCTGTTCTCTGCTCTGCAAATGTTTGAAGCATTTTGCTTATCATGAAGTACTGGCAGCAAAGGGGAATGCTTTGTGTTGAGTGCTGGGACTGGCTGCACAAACACATTTGTGGCCCCTGTGGCTTCAATACAGCTCATAATTAAAGCAGTGTCTGTGAGCAGAGTGAGTTAATTGTAAATCTGTACAGGAGCAGGGCACATCCTGAAGAGTTTTTTTCCAGGTTGACCCTGATAAGGCAAAGTGTTCTTGAATCAGGTGGTTTTAAACCAACACCTGACACTGTGGATGAGACAAGTTTATAGTCTTGGCACTCTAGAGCAGCCTGTCTGCAATAGCCCTTTCAGCAAAATGCTGCCAAAAAGCCATAAAAAAGTGAAGCAGTGACTTATTTCTTGGTTAATGGAGGGGATATAGTAACTTTAACCTTCAAATTCTGCTTTGGCTGGTCTGTAAGTGCACAAAACCAAGCCTATAAAGTCAGAGATAGGTAACAGCAGATGTTAAAACATGGATGACTTCACCTCCTCTTTCTGTCTTCTTTTTCTAGGATGCTAAGAGGCAGCATCAAGAGGTGGTTTCAGTTTATCGGACACATCTTCTTAGTGCTGTACAGGTATGGCAGTCCCAAAGGCAGCTTGTTTGACTCTGTCAGTGCAGAGGTTCTGGAGGCACATTTCTAATGGCCATACTGGAGAATTTCAAACTTGAAACTAGCACCAAGTACTTGTTCTCATGGACCAAAGTGACACCAAAGCTGTAGTTTTATTCTGCCACCACCTTCTTGCCACTCATCGTGTCGCTGCACATCACAACAACCTGCTGAGAGGGGGTGGTGGGGATGGGAGCCTGTTCCTAACCCTCCATCACCCCCAGGGATGCTGCAGAGAAGTGGGGTAGAAATTGGAAACTTAATGCAGACTTAGCTAGTGGCTCTCACTGAACAAAAATCTAGTCAACTGGTTCAAGTCTTAGGACTCCAGATAATTGGATGTGCAAACAAGGGACAGTGACCACAGCAGCAGGCTGCAGAGTCCAGAGGATGAGAAAAGCCATTTTTTCCCATGTGGTACCTTCATAAAGGAAAGTGCTGTGTCAGAGGCAGACCCTTCCTTCCCTTCTGAAGGGAAAAAACCAACAGAATTCCCAGAGAATTCCAGATTTTCCCAGAGGGTGGTGAAAATACAGCAACGAGTAAGACTTTGGGGTAATGTTGAAGAATCTCCTGATGTTAGTGGTGGCTGGCTGACACTACAACACTTCTCATTTTTCTTTTAACCCCGTGTTTGCTTGCTCTAGGGTCACATGGATGAAGATGTCCAAGCTGCTTTATTGCAGATCATCCAGATGAGACAGGGGCTGGTTTGCTGACGTGCTCAGTGCTGGTGCTCTGGGAGGCTGCTGCACCTTGTAGGAGTGCTGTGATGACGGTAGTGATAACCTTTGTGAGATTTATGGAGTTATAACATAGCTGCAATAAGAACCTCCAAATACAAAAATGACTTCCAAAGCTGGAACCTTTTTTTTTTTTTTTCTGGTAAAACAGTAAAATAAGGTTACGAGGTTCCAGATCTGACATTTTTGGTTAGATTAGTAAAAGATGTGGAACGTCTTTTAAGGTTGGTGTGCAAGCTGACTGTCAAAATGATGACATAGTAGTTAAATTATTTTAATGTCTGATTGACCACTGATTAAAACAAGGCCTAGAGCAAGAAACTCCAGTTTCTTCTCAAACTTGAACTCTCCTGGTATGGTTAAAAATAAACTATGTCCAAATGAGCTTGGCTAAGTATTGTAGCTGTATATCTTCTTTAATGATTGAGAGAAAGTGGCTGTTTTGTCACATGAGCTGATCAAGAGACACTAAAATATGCTTTGTAAGTCAGCTGCAAAGGTAGAGGAAAAAGGTATTTAGGTCTATGTTGTAACTTGGCTGGCCAAGTTACAGACTTTATTTAAATATAAGCTGAAGTTGTAGTGCCTTTGCTTTTTGCAAGACTTAAATTCAGGTTTTCTATCAAAACACTAACTTTTATGTTTGCCTTCCTCCCTCCTTTCCCAAGATTTTTGAAGAATGCTTTGTAATATTGATTACCATAGGCTGAAGTAGTGGTGCTGGAGAGTCACAGGCTGTGGAGCAGCATTTTGATCTAAATGCAGTAGTCCTGCTTCTGTATCATTTCATTCCTCATTAGATCCCCTATGGGTGTAGACTGAGCAGCTCATTAAGCTGTACACCAGGTAATTCAGGTATTGGATTTTCAAACACTATCTCATGGAAGCTTAAGGTATTTTCTGCTTAGCTGTAAGTTATGTGCTATAATCTTATTTATGGGGAAAGATGCAAATAGGATTAATGAAAGGAGAATTTTTATTTACTTGGAATCTACTTGTTAAAGTTAAGACAGGGCTTCATTTTTAACTGAAAGATGATGTTCCCATAAGTAAGTTTTATGAAAGAAAACATGAAGTGAGGGACTATTCAAAGGAAGTAATTGGAAAAATGAGCCTGATGATGTGTGTGGCTGTTTGAGCAGAGCCAGCAGTAAATGCTCTCTGTAGCCATGGCCACTTCAGCCTACTTGGTTCAAAGCATTTGTTTGTAACTGGTAAGTAGGAATCTCTCTTCCTGATGTGGAAGAGACAAAATTCCTCAGCCATATTCCTGGAAATAAGGCCTAGAGTCAGAGCATGGAGTTCTCTGCTTCATGTTCCCTGGGCTTCCCACCCAGCTGTACCTCTCAGGCTTAGGGCTCTTCTGGTTTTTTTTTAGTAGTATTATGTTTGTTTCCTTTCTTTGTCCCTTTTTGGGCAGAGTCTTGTAGAATTGAAGAGACAACTGTCACATAGAGGAGGATACAGACATAGTGCTGAACGTGCAGGGCAGTTTTTATTATATAAATACACTTAATATATTTACTAAATATGTGTCTGTAGTTAAACAGATCTACTGCTGCTTTCCTTTAATTTCTTAGAGGACAATTACAGAAGACATCTCAGTATATATACGTTACTTTTTAGCCAAATTCTTTTATGATTGCATTACTTGAAACTCTTATTAGAGAGAATTTGTTTGGATATACTAACTCGGGCATCTTTTGCTATTCTGTTTCCTTATTGAGGGAGTTCTATGTATGTTTTTCTAAATCTCTCCCTTATTACAGTATCAATAAAATATTTTCTTCTTTTTTTTATTGTAGTGGTCAATTCTGTAAAAGGTAAAGAAGTGTAAGTAGTTTGGCAAAGTGCTCTTGGTAGCAAAGTGCTCTCAAATACCAGGTAACACATTTGATGTTTTAGGTGTCTGCTGGGATTATTGTGTTGTTTGTTTTTTTTTTAATCTTTTTCCATAGTTTATGGTTGATAAAATTTTGCTGACATTGATCAAGATTCAAACCTTCTACTGGTTCTTCAGAGTAATTTGACTCCACTCACTTCTTCTGTCTGTCCCTCGTTGGGTTTGGGGTGAGCCACTCAGGTTTTACTGCTGCTTTTAATAAAAGCATAATTTTGTAAGAACTTACATTGCCACCTGCTTTCAAGTGATCTTTGCAGAATAATTGCTTGGCACTACCAAAATCCATTCACTTGGAGTGAGTTGAAAGTGAAGGGCTTTTTAATCATTAGTTTAATTTTGAGTTATTTGGGCATCTTGTCCAGCCAGTGGGACATGAAAGTAATTAAGATTGTTAAAGTGTGAGGCTGTGGACGGTGTAAGTGGAACTGTGTTGGATTTGAACAATGACTGGAACAATGGTTTCTTCCTTGGTGTTCTGAAGGAGTTGCTTGTATTCCACACTAGTAAGAAGCCAGCTCTCTCTTGAGTTCTTATAAATTTCTAGTTTGACCTTGAAGAAAAAAATCTGAGTATATACACATTTATATACATTTGAGTGTCTTCTGAAGAGGAACTGGCACTTAGGTAGAACTGTTTCAAGCTCTGATGTGTCTGAACCTTCTCTCTGCCAGTAGATACATTCAGAGTCAGCTAAGTACAAGGTATCATGAAGTGCTTTTCAGTGGCAGTTTCCTGGTACCTTTATGCTCAGGTGTACTACAGGCTATTTTGATCAGCAACCATGCTTTTTTTTTTTTTTCCTGTGGAGTGAGGAATTATTTAAAAGCTTTTTTCAATTATATTTACCTTCTCTTTTATTTTGTAGCAGACAGAGTAATTTCTGCTAGAGGGTTTTACTTTTCCCATCTTTGTTTTAAGATTCATATGCCACTTAAACACCAGCCTGAAACTCCTTCAAAAGCAAGCTGCTAGATGACAATCCTCCCTGTTGTCCCTCTCCTTGACCTGTACCAGAACAAGCACCTGGAAGTGCTGAGGTTGGGGGTACACTGAGTTCTTTCTGTGCTGAGACGTGGTTGTTTAATTCAGCTGCTGCAGCAGCAGTTACAAGTGGCAGGAATCTGAGGCTTCTCCTTCTGTTAAATGACTTTCAAGATCACTTTTGCAGCTTCAACCTGATGTCGTGTTGCTTGAAGCATGGGTAGGATTCCTGGCTTTGTCCATAGCAGGATAGATGTTGTTTTTAAAGGAATAATTAAATTTTATCATTTTTTGAAAGGTGAATTGGCAGCCAGGCTTGGGAAGCTGTGGGGGTGTTTTGATTTGTGTTTTTTTTTCCTTTAAAATAAAAAGTTTCCTTAATACTCCTGTATCTCCTCCTGGTATGATACTAGAAAGAAATGGAGAAGTTGCTCCTTGTTGGGAGGACAGTTGTGCATCTCCTGTAGTGACATTTTGGCTGCAGATTAGAAACTGGATGCTTCTTGGAGCAGTGCTGGAGAGCTTTTCCCAGTGTGGTGGCAGTAGGCAGCTGTGGAGCTTTAATTGTGCTCACTTTGCTGTTAACAGCAGGGTTGTACCTGAGAGGAAAGCCCTGTCTGGACTTTCATGGGCTTGCCTGGGCAGAAAGCCCTCCAGAAATCAATGTGAGATAAAGAATGTAAAAGAAGTGGGAAACTCAACTGGGATTTCCTTGGGAATGCTGTAATTCAGTATTCCACGTGATAGAGGCTGGCTCTGACTTTGTCACCTTGGTGTTGGTGATCCTGTAGAACTCTGGCACGAGGGAATTAAGTGTAATTTCTTGGGTGTTAATGAGTGGGGGTGGTTTAAATACTGAGCAAACGGTGACGTCCCCAGGCTCAAGGTGAATGAACAAGTCCCCTGACAATGCTCTGTGTAAGTTTGGGGTTTTTTTGGCTCAGTTGACTCCTGAAGGTGAATTGAAGGGCTGTGCCTGCACAACAGTGACCTTCCCATGGCAGTGATCATCCACGTGCTGGCTCAAATCAAGCCTTGAGGTATCACCAGCCTGGCAAAGGAAGCTTCCCATCTTTGTGCCTTCCTGGGCAAACATCACTGATGGAAGGAAGGAAGAAAAGAGAGGTCACAAAAATGTCAGATGTAAATGAAATGCCTCTGAGAGGCTGGGAGGCTGCTTCACAAGAGCAAAGCAACATTAATAAGGTAATGCAGCTCATAATTGCTTGTTGGCACCGTGTCCCCATTATGTAATAGCAGTTTTTAAAGTGGGTCTGTGACTTCTCTTTTTGTTTTGAGCAGCTGACTTAGAAATCTCTCCCAAGTCCTGGAAAGTTTATAGAGATTATTGCTTTTTATTTTTAAAATCTTAACGCTTGTATTGCTCTGCCAAGTCAGAAAATTAACTTTTAATAGGAAAAACATACATATAATTCAGTCACAGCTGAATTAGATCAGATGGATTTTACATTAAGTGAAAAAGATGTTGAGCATTTAAGGGCCATTAAATTGTGAAGCTTTTTATTGTTGGGCTCGTAGCCTCCCAGCCAGCACTCTGCTGTGGAGAGTATTTATTTCTACATTTGCAGAGTATGCTGGATGATGGGAAGGGAATACATTTTAAGGGAAGATAGGACACAAAAATGTGATGGTTTTCCACTGGGTGAACAGCTAGTTTTATTTCATAATAATTAGTTTTACACTTCATTAAGTGCTGGGGGTTTTTTGCTTATATGCTCTTAGAATACAGCGGAGAACACACTTAAAATTCTCAGCAGGGCATCCAGTTAGTGTTTTATAATCTAATGGGGGTATGGCAAAGTGAGAGGAGATCTTTTTAAAGGGTCCTCATATCCTGAGGGTCAGGTGTGGTATAAGGATTACTTTGGGTACAAAGACACTGGTAGTTGGTGTCTTGTCTTGCCATGCTGCTGGCTGCAGTTCAGGTCTTGTAAGATACTCACAAAGTGACAAGTGATGAGCATAGATGGAGGAAAGATGTCCCCATGTCCTCACCAGGTCACACTACAAGTGACTCTGTCTTCAAGCAGCTCTGGGGTTGGATGGGTATAGGAATAACTGTACCTTTGTTTTCATAAAAACATGTTTATAGGGTCATAGAATTGTTTTGGTTGGAAGAGAGCTTTAAAATCAGAGTCCAACTGTTGTCCCAGCAC